TCCCCCCCCCCCTCCAGAAACCTGTCAGTGTTTTTTTGAGGCTGTTTTTTTTTTTTTTTTTTTTTTTTTTGTCACATTGAATAATTTCAGATTTGTGTCTTATTTTTTTATTCTAAAATTGTTTTGGGCTTAAAATAGCTTAAACTCAACAGACTCTTCATACAACAAAGCTACATAGAATACAGTATCGATTGAAAGTTTTGAACCCACTTTCCTTTTTTGTTTCATATTACACTGAAGGTTCTATCTTATGGATGCCTTTATTTGGAAATCTGTTCCAAATAAAAATTATCAGTGAAATACTTTAATCCACTCAGTCCTCAGGTAGGCCTGCCCTGCATGTTTCAGGAGTTTCCCTTCTCCCACACACCTGACGTGAAGAAAGGGCTGATTAAAAAAACAAAACATGTGCTCTCAAGGTTTTTTTTTTTTTTTACTCATGAGTCAATTCAGTACATAAACTCACAGTCGGCACAATCTTTACAACCAGGAAGGTAGCAAATGCATTTCCTGGTACTGACAATCCACCTAATTAGATTCATTAAGGTTTGTGATTGTAATTAGACAACATATTGTCATCAAACAACCAGTTAGTGAACCTGGGACGCAGGAGAAACAGACCGAATGGACCGGCTGTTCTGCCCAAGAAGAAAAACAAGCTGTGCACCAATTCACGGACAAACGAGGTTGCAAACGTCAAAAATAAAATCCCGCGAATTTAAGAAAACTGCTTAACTTGTTGATAGGAAGCTTATACAATAATTAATCATGTTTGGTTGAATAAGGTCATGTTTTACAGCATAAAAAAATTAATTTTAAAGTAATTGTGTAGAAGTTCGCAGAGAAGAGAGGTCTCATAGACCATAGACATTAAATCTGCATCTGTTCATTGCAGAAACAAGTACAAGCCTGTCCTCATGTTCGCCTAATAATACAATTCGCGTCATTCTTTAAACATGTTTTCAAAGGCCAGGTCTCCAAATAAAAGCTCAGACATAAGGAAAAAAAGAAGTTTAAATCTTACTGTAATTATTGTCGTTAAAGTTGTCCAGACTTCCTATTTGCTCAGATTAGAGAAATCCAGTGCTATATGTGTTTCGGTGTGGTAAACTTGCGCACAATCGGTCTGCGCGTGAGGAAGCATTTAGATGGGCTCAGACGCTGATAGGTTACTCTCCACATAATACAAGTGGCTCTGAGTCAGACCTGTAAGATCTAGTATACATTTTATATGGAGCGCAATGTAAAAAAAAAACGAACAAAAACAAAACAAAGATCATTGAAGAAACCTCACTTCTATTATAATGTCTGTTTAACAGACAGGACAAACTGATTGTCATATTCAGTGCATCAGAATATTATTGAAACGCTGTCTGTGTTTATTAACCTTAATGTACCGATTAGTTACGTACACATTCATGTTTGCGACCTTTTGTTAATGTTTGTGATAATCTTCTACTTGCAGACAAGATTTTTACCAGGATATTAAAAATAACACAGAAATAATATCTTAAAAGCTGTTATTCAGAAGGTGTTTAAAATCTGACAAGCGATCCTCAATGTTATGTGTAATCTATTTTTATTTACTGTGATTTCACTGAAAGGCTTCCGACTTCATATTTCTGGATCCAAACATCGATCCATGTTGCTTAAACAAAAGCCTTAGGGCGACCTCCAGTGGTGAAGAGTTGTACAGCTACATGTTTGCCTCCATTTTTTTTCCTTTTGCATCTTGCATTTCTAATAAAACGTGTCTTGTTTACATTAACAAAATTTCGAATATCTAAAGCAAAAAGGAAATAAATAAATAAATATATATATATATAAATATCTAAAACGTTGACGCCTTCTTCCTTATGCGTCACTGTCTTTTAGCCAATGGGAGACCGCATATACAGAGCTAAGCCGTGTGGGGTTGAATGGTGTAAATCTGGACGCTGTGTGGCTTTTCACTCTGTAATCATCTTATTTAGCCACGCATAAAAACGCAGAGAACCTCAGCCAGGAAGAACTGTTCGTCGGCTGAATGTGTGCAGCATTTACCGATGCGTTATGTGCCCATTCGAGGAAACACTCACAAGCTTTAGGAGGTGTAAAGCAGTCCGTGTCCACAAATGACCGATCCCACAGCGAAGGTAATAAGCACACACACTGGATTTATATTGGTCTTTAGCCATCTGTGCAAATAGAAACATGACACTTTCTGATGATTTACGGCGAAATGTGGAGTTCTCTTTCGTTTCTTTTGTGAGCTCATACGGCATGCCAGATTACTCATTATGTGTGTTTTCTTTTCTTGTGTGAGGATTCAAGTAAAAGACAATAAATACATGCACAATAAATTATTTTATGAAAACAAATATTAGGTTCATTGTGTGTATCTGGGTGCTTAGTTGACAGTAAAATCATATTTTTTAACTCAAGAAGCATCATAAGTGAAGCTGAAAGACTTGAGCCACCTTTTCAGTTGTAATATCCAAAGTTTTTTTTTTAAATCTCTTTGTAAATGAGACCCTTTCTTTCAGCAGAAAATATGTAGTTGTACACCGATGTACAAGTTGAGTCGGTCTGACTCCGTAAGCCCCAAAACTTCACTGGATCCCTGGAGGTGAAGCGAATCTGACAGCAAGATGTTTGCAGCAGAAACTTTTAACCTTCTCATAACTATCGTAGAAGTGCAGATAGGATTTGACATTTGGGATGAATTGTTGCTTTACCATTAGTTCTATGATATAAATGTAACTGCATAAAAAAAACTATAAAATGGAATAAGTGATTGGTACTACAAGTTAGAAGTTTTTTGGGTTTTTTTTAAAGGTGAAGACACACTTGTATATTAAGTGTTATAAGTTGTAAGGCCAATTGCACTTTTTCCTGCACATAACCAATTGCTTTTGCTGGATTGCCACTATTTCTTCCGTGGGTTACTTTTGATAGTCACTGTGACAGATCAAGAGGACTCCAATAAAGCTGTGGTTGTGGAGAAGTTCGACTTGGAAATGATCCAGACGTCTCGCCATGACCATTTGACCCTTTCCGAACTCTAAAAGCCAAGAATTTTCTTTTTCCTTTTCTTTTTTTTTTTTTTTTTTTTGCTCTAAACATATAATTTTAAGTCCAGTTTTGCAATGTGGGGGAGTCCTACAGTTGGTATTATTATTCTTGTCATTGTTTGAAAACCTGTCAAATGCCACTGCAGCAGAAAGCAGCAAGTGAAACAGGAAAGTCCAGTCTGAGTAGAACATTTCTCTCACCACAAGCCTAACTTGACATGGGGGTAGTGTATGATTTCTCAACATTGGGAAACTGTCTCTATGATCAAGATTACAGAAGTTAAAGCAACATGGTTAGGCATTGTTGAAGGATCGGTACGTACACAAAGTTTACTTATAAAACACCTCTACCAATAAAGAGAGTCACAAAGTGCTTTACAAGATGGTTAAAATCAAACTCCAAACTCTATAAAAGTGGTGACTTGTTGAGTCAGGCTTGGATGGAGTGGGGGATGGATAAATGGATTTTAGCTTGGTCTGCTCTCAGATCTGCTGCTCCAGTCTGTCATGGTGAAGAAAGAGCTTCATCACAAAGGGAAACTCTCAATTTACCAGTTGATCTACGACCTGTAACGATGAGATGAGCGTCATGGTTGTTCTTGTAGATTTTCTGAGACTATCCAATGAGAGAAGATCCTGAGACTGATTCAGCACTTTCTAAAGGGGCAATTCATGGAAATAATTTAAGAGTTTATCTGGTGTGGGTAGATTTAAATGTTTGTAAGTTGGTGACTATGAGAAGGCCAGGGAATCATAAGATCTTGTGTCTTCTACATGCTCCTTTTTGAACAAATTATGTAAAATTACATGCCAACGGGCTTCATTATTTGTTTTAATTTTCTTTCTGCTGTCTCAGGAGACTGAGTGACCTGGTGCAAAACTACAGAATGCTCTAAAGACATGTCACCATTTCCTATTGTCCATTGAACTCTTTTGCAGGTCTGTCACGTGATGGTTTAATACTAATGAAATAATAAGATGCTTATCAATCTGATTAAAGTGTGCTTTTATTCCACGTAGGCATGCTATAAGTTGGGACGTTGCAGAACAGGAGAGATTTTCACCATGAAGGGCCCCAGCTCCAAATGGGCCTTCTCACTGGGCTTAGTGGTGGGAACCTGCAGCATGTACTTCTTCCTGCATCAGGTGTGGTTCGAGCGAAGCTACCCTGTGCTCTCTGAGGCTCAGGAGACAGCCACAGAAGCAGGGGAGCGGCCAACCATTTGGAGGAGAGAAGGAGGCGCACTCATCAACCTGCTCCACCCTCACCAAGCAGGTGCTGTGCATGCATGTTGTAGTAGACTTAAATGTTAAATAGCCAATGTTGTTCTTTTCTGTTGCATTTTTAGTTATGTTTAGTAATGCAGTAGTAAAGTAGTAATGTTTAATTGCTTAATCTGCTGCAAGCTGAACCTCCTTGTATGTTTAAGTTTCATTTCTTTTTTTTTTTTCCTTCTCTCACACGCCGATTTCTGAGACTTACTCTGATTTTCTAAATAAACTATCTAAAGACAAATGCAACATTTCTCTGATTGATTCTGCGTGTCTCCCTTCATCAAAACGAAAAAGAATTTTCCTAAGCAGATTGTAACACTGGTGCCTTTTTCTCTGTATCTAGATGAAGACAGCAAAGTGGCAGACATGCTGTTCCAGAGGGTTCGCATTCTCTGCTGGGTAATGACGAGGCCGCATAACCTCCAGAGCAGGGCCAGCCATGTCCGAGCCACCTGGAGTCGGCACTGCAACATCGTGGTGTTCATGAGCTCTGTGGAAGACCCCTCCTTTCCCGCTGTGGGGCTGGGCACCAATGAGGGCCGCGACCAGCTCTACTGGAAAACCATCCGAGCCTTCCAGTACGTCCACGAGCATCACGTGAATGAAGCAGACTGGTTCCTCAAAGCTGATGACGACACCTTCGTGGTGGTCGATAACCTGCGTTGGCTTCTGTCCAACCACACTCCTGAAGAGCCCGTCTATTTTGGTAAACGCTTTAAGCCGTACACCAAACAAGGCTACATGAGCGGAGGTGCGGGGTACGTGCTCAGCAAGGAGGCCCTTAGACGGTTTGTCGAAGGTTTCCGGACCAAGGCTTGCACACACACCACCCCTGTTGAAGACCTGGCCTTGGGGCAGTGTTTGGAGAAGATGGGTGTCCTGGCAGGGGACTCTAGAGACACGTTGCATCGGGAAACCTTCCACCCGTTTGTGCCGGAGCACCACCTCACCACAAAGTTCTCCAAGAGCTTCTGGTACTGGAGTTATTGTTTCTACCCGATTGTTGAGGCAAGTCCCTTCATGTGCTATATCCGGTACTAGGGTTCAGCGCTGTAAAGTGGAACTGTGGCAGTAACTCTTAGTATAACTAATCAACATGAAAGCCAATTACTGATAGTTCCCATTAGGCAGACATCCTCTGAGTGGATTAGCCTTATTAGAAAAGGGCATTTCGGGTGAAGAAGCCATGCGGATGAGAGACTGCATGGAGAAATAGAAAGGCTTCATAAATTCATTTGATTATAAGCTGAAATTCTTGGTCGACCTTTCACTCCAATTATTTCCTGTGAAAAGTCAGATTTGTTTTCGACGAATGGAAAAGAACAAGCTGTTCAAGTCAGATAGGAATTTATGGAGGAAGATGGCAGTTTTTCTGTTTTCCTCAAACTAAAAGTGCAGTAACATGAACATAAACCCCACAGAATATTCATTTCACGCAATAATTGTAAGCATATATTGGGGCAGCATGCCAAAGTCTTCCTAACAGGAGAACGCCAATGCTCACTTTTGCATCTTGCTCATAAATTGCTGTTCCCGTGTGAGATTGGCTGATATTAAAATGCTAAGCATGACGTTTGTTGTGTTTTCTGTATGTTTGACATGCGTTTTTCTTTTTGCGTTCTTTCAGGGACCACAGTGCTGCTCGGACCTGGCTGTGTCATTCCATTATGTGGAAGCACAGCTGATGTATACTCTGGAGTATTACACCTACCACCTGAGAGCTTATGGCTACGTGCCACGCTACCTGCCCTCCGCGCACCGCAGGCCGAGACTCCACCCCCAGACGAAGACGGCCGCTGCTGTGGGCGTTAAAGTGTCTCAGGAGGTGATGGACACAACCAGTCGCGCAGGCCCTGCTCTGCTTGTCAACAGAAACCAAACCGTAGAACAGACACTAGCAGAGAGGGGCAGGAGAGAAGACGCCGATTTTAATTTACCCATAAATAAGACTGTAAGCGCACAAGGCAGTCGTCGCTGATTCCCTACTCTGCTGAAGGATCTTCGACTGCAGTGGATCTGATCCGGTTACAGCTTCTTCCACATCCATGATGATCAAGGTGATCAAAGCCAGGATGGAGCCTTTTTGCCCTCAAAACGTTTGCTGCTCTGTGAAGTATATTGGCCATGGTAATATTATAATACCCCCTTGGATATAATTCTCAGAATATTTCACAGTATTTCTCAGACAGCGCTCCCAGTGGGAGTGGAGACAAATTAATTATGGCTCAGTGGCAGCTGCGTATTGCCTGGGTATATTTTTACCTAATGTAAAAAACATGCTTTTTGCTTAATCATGTTTGACTGCGCCTGGGTTTGTGACCCAATCAGCGATTTTTGTAGTGATGCAGAAACATTTTCACTTATGCCATTATTAATTTAATTTCATTTTTCTTATTAAATGGAGAGCAGCGGTACATTGTGAAACTGTGAAGTATCCAGGATTTTTATGGCCACTTTGATTTTAATTAGTGATGAACTTCTTTTTTCCATTTTAACCTTTTAAACCACATGCATAAATAAACTTTGAAATACTGTGAGATCCTGGTCACCTTTCTGTGTTGAATTCTAGTTTGTTTTCATTAGCAGCTCGATATTTAATACGTGCAGAGCGATAATGTTTGATGCAGCAGCAACTGTGCTGCAGAGATGCTTTTTGACTCTGACGCAAAGCTCCAAAGTCCTAATGTGCATTTAAAAGCAAGCTGTTCTGTTTCAGAGTGGCAATAAATATAATTACACATTTTCAGTGAATCCCATCATGTGATGTCATATTGTCTGAATTTCCAAATCACAAGCGTGCAGAAAGATTCACCATCATTCAATGATGATGATTAAAAAAAATAGTACTGCCAATGGATTAAAGATGTAATCAGATTAATCACACTGCAACGCTGTGATTAATCACTATGATTAACATTGTAAGCCTGAAATACATTATGCATGCAGTTGTGGATCTTGAAGGAATGGTGCCCTGGGCAAGCCCCTCCTTCTGGTGCACTCCAATCAATTACAATGCAAGTAATTATCTCATTTTTTGTGTTTGTTTTTTTCAGCAGGTAATGTAGTTTCTTCCAGTACTCAACAGCAACTAACTTACTTCATTACATGTGCAAACAAGTTGTAGCCAACATATTCAGGGGACAACTGGCAGATAATATATGTTTTATTTTCGAGTTCTTGGCTTCCCCACCAGTTACTGATGTTGCCCTGGGTAACTGTCCATATAGCCCATATCAAAAAAACACCACTGTATGCGTGTCTTATTGTCTCAAACCAAACATGTCTGAAGATTCTCAGTTTCCCAAGTTTTGGTATTCAGGGAGGTTTATCGGAAGTCGTCTTGTTTTAATCGTTCATTTCAAAAATTTCCCTCTACATTGATTTTGTGCGATGAGGCGGCGGCACAAATTATACGCGGCATAATTCGTGTATGTGAAATTTCGAGCTGGTACATGTAGATGCGCACACAAGGGTTGTGAAGCGACGCAGCACAAGAAAGTTGAACAAAGTTCAACCTTTGTTGCCATCTGGTATTGCGGGAAACGTTTACCTTTCGCTGTCTCTCCGTGAGAGAGGTCAGCATCATTAATCTGAATTTAGAAGATTATTATTGTAACACGTTTAGATCAATTGAATGTGTTATCGGGTTAACGTTGACAGCCCTCCAGGAAATATGTGAAATTTATGTTTATTTTCAACTTCGAACAAAAAAAAAATAAAAAAAAATAAGAGAGAACAATAAAAACTGAAAATATGACTTGTAATATGACCAATGGGGTGCTATAGCGCCCCCTGGAGAAGTCATAGCCCTCCCAAGAAAATATCATTTTATATATCAATTATCATTTTTCTTCTTCATCCATTTCACTATTCTTTAGTATGTGGTTGTGATATTTCCCTCACAAAACACAACTAATTACTAAAAACAACAACCAATGATTATATTGAGTTAATAAAATAAAAAAAATCCCATCTTGCAACAGGAAATGAACTTGTAAGCCTTTTTTCACTTCCGGTAAACAACTGAAAGGAGCAAGTAGTGCAAAAATGGATTGTTTTCTACTACCCAATTTTCCAAAGATGGGATCAACAGCTCAAGAGGGAAACTGTGGAGAAAACAGGGAACGTCACATTACCAATTTGGCAGTATTTCAGATATTTAAACAAAAAAAAAAAAATCAATAATTATTGATATCGACTGTTAACATATCATAACATGTTTCTCAGCCGTATTGTCAACCCATACCATAACATACCACTCATACCATAGTGACATGACATATTGACAATTTCAACAAATATTTTTTGTAAAAGTTGCATCTGCATCTTTAAATAGCAGATTACCACATATTCGCTATTCACTTTATTGGTCACTGTTGAAGATGTCTGCGTTTTGAGTGTGCCTCTGTTTGTGCTTGCTTCTGTGTGTGTTGGGAACTTTAAGAACAAATGATCCTTAGCAGCACCCTCAGTAAAAAAAAAAAAAAAAAAACTTAGCCCCGGTAAGCACCTGCAGAAAAAAAATCTCTGGAGCCGCCACTGCTTGTAATTATTCTTTGTCTTTCAGGTAAAACAGTTACAATCTGCTTGGTTTATGGTTACTTTCATCAACCAGCTGCTTGGCTGTTTCCCCGTCAGACTTGTTGGCCGTTTGTGCTCCTCTGCGATTTTCAATTGAAGCCAAACTGAAAAATGTGTGACTGAGTGTCTACAGCCCCTGAAGTGGCCTGAAAAAGACAAAATATATATATATATATATATCATATGCAGAAATTATTAATCAGCCAACTATGTGTGTGCACATATATATTTATATACACTGCTCAAAAAAATAAAGGGAACACTCAAATAACACATCCTAGATCTGAATAAATGAAATATTCTCATTGAATACTTTGTTCTGTACAAAGTTGAATGTGCTGACAACAAAATCACACAAAAATCATCAATGGAAGTCTAATTTATTAACCAATGGAGGCCTGGATTTGGAGCCACACACAAAATTAAAGTGAAATGTTCCCTTTATTTTTTTGAGCAGTATATATTTAGGGCTTTGTAAAAGCTATCTGCTTTCCTGAGAACTCACCTCAGTCTGAACTTGTTGAGAAAAATTCCTCTCCGTTCTGGATACTCTCTTCTCCAGGGACTATTATCTAAGAGAGCAGACGAAAAGGCTCATTATAGGAGCACAGATTACAAGTCTCATATTGTCTACATACTAGAAGCGGAAAGAGGAACTTAGATAGCCAATGAAAAAATCATGGCAGCAGCTATTGTACTCCTGAGATCTATAACACTCACCAGAGTCTGAGCTTCTTTTTCCCATGAGACCAAAAAACAGCTCATCTGTTTCCCCTAATAAAGAGAAATGAAAATATTGTTTTTATTCCACAAACACACTCATCGGCTTATAAGGATGCAGATATAATGAACCTCACGTTTTGCTGCAGTTTTCGAATCTTCATCTGTAAGACAAAGAGGAAATACAAAATCAGGTAACAAATTATTCAAAAAAATAAAGAAAAAATAAAACAAACTTTTGCAGTTTACAAATTGATTTGCCAATTTTACCATTTTATCTTCACTTGTTGATATAAAAAAAGTAAAAAAAAATAAAAAAAAA